GTCTAAACTTAACTTGAGGGATTAGGAGTTGTGTCCTATTTGCTAATTGCTTCTTGTTGAGTACGACGTATGGGCATGGTGGTGAGTATCTATACGTTGGTGTCAAGCATGACCGTGAGTCTTATATTGTGATTTCCATGATTTCGTTGTATTATTCATGCCTTGGTGAAAATTTTTATTTATTGTGTAAAGTTGTGAAAAGAATGGTGACCTATGAACATTGAGGAGCGTTGGCTCCAGTTTGTATAACGAATTGTGGTAGTATATGTGATAATTGAACCTCTAGAGCAGTGGCTCGAGTTGTGAAGCGAATTGTGAAGTAAAAGTGAGAAAGAGAAGAGATCATTATGTTGCCCCCTTGCCGGGCTGTTGTTGAGTTGTGGGTCCCTTGCATTGTGTTCTTAATTGATATTACAGATACTTAGGTTGATGATTCTTTGTGTTAGGTAAGGATTATGGTAATAGCTGAGAAAGTTAGACGTTGGATCAAGTCGGGGTGTGGCCGAGGTAGTTAGGTGTTGTAACGATTCTAGTTATAGCTGAGGTAGTTAGGTGTTGTAACAAGTTTATTCATAGCTGAGGTAGTTAGGTGTTGTAACAAGTTTAGGTATAGCTGAGTAGGAGTTGAGTTAGGATTGATTATAGCTGATTCTCCCTTTGCGGGGTTTTACTCTTGATATTGTTGTTCCCTTATCGGTGGGTTATTATGTTGCTTTCGTTCCCTTGCCGGGATTCCTTGTGATTTTGTGCTGGCTTGTAAATGAGAGCGGGTGTTACGCCTACCACGAGATATAATGAAAAGGGAGCGGGTGGTACGCCTACCATGAGATATAATGAAATGGGAACGGGTGGTACGCCTACTACGAGATATAATGAAATGGGATCAGGTGGTACGCCTACCACGAGATATGATGAAATGGGATCGGGTGGTACGCCTACCACGATATATTGTGAAATGGGATCGGGTGGTACGCCTACCACGAGATATAATAAAATGGGAGCGGGTCGTACGCCTACCACGAGATATACTGAAATGGGAGTGGGTGGTACGCCTACCACAAGATATGAGAAATGGGATCGGGTTGCACGCCTGCAACGAGATGTGGACTGATAGTGAAATCTGCCTTTGTTTTTCCTTATTCTTGTTAGTAGTTAAATTTTGGTTTCTTGATAATTCTCTTGAGATTCTGTTTTGTCTGTTATTCCCCGAAGCATGTTTCCCTTTCCCAGCTTTAGTTGTTTGTTCTAGTTTATCTTTCCGCTATATATATATATATATATATATATAAACTGCACAGGTTTATTTGGAGTTTGGTCCTAGCCTCGTCACTACCTCGCCGGGGTTAGGCCAGGCACTTACCAGCACATGGGGTCGGTTGTGCTGATACTACACTCTACTCTCTTTTGTGCAGACCCCAGTGTTGTAGACTTTGGACCGCAGTGGGATTTGCTGATTCTTGCTCATCAGGCGATCCGAGGTAGTCCTATAGGCGTCCGTAGGCCTTGGCGTCACCTTCCATCTACTATCCCTGTTTCTTTTTGTGTATTTCTAGAGACAGCATTGTATTTATTTCTTTCAGACCTTTATTTGTAGTATTCTTAGACCGTCTGTGGTACTGTGACACCAGTTCTGGGTAGTCGAGACTCAAACAGTTGTATTAGATATTCATGTTCAGATAGCTTATCGTTTCTTTCTTCCGCTTATGTTAAATTCCGCTGTTTAAATATTATTATTTCGAAATTGTTAATGAATATAAATGGGTAAAAAGGTAACTTGTGAAATTAATTGGCTTGCCTAGCTCGTATTAGTAGGCGCCATCACGACTCCCGAAGGTGGGAATCCGGGTCGTGACATTCTTGGAAGAAGCTAGAATTTTCTGCTTCTTCCCAAAAGCAGAAAAACTGCTTCTTCTACTGGCAAAAAGTACTTTTCTGTATTGGCCAAACAACTCAATTGTTTTAAAAAGTATTTTTTTGGGAAAAAAAAGTACTTTTGGCTTCCTAGAAGCTTGGCGAAACAGGATCTTACTAATGGTGGTATCTAATTAATTATTCCCTTGTCCCTTCGGGGACATCCGATAAAAAAATTAATTATTCCCCCCGGTTCAATAAGTGATCCTATTTCTTTTTTATTTTGGTTCAAAATAAGTGTCCATTTACATAATCAAGAAAAATTAATTTTATTTTTTCAAATTTTTTTACTTATTTACATATTCGAATATGTCAAGATAATAATTAATTAATGTTAATTTAGTGAATACATCTTTTTTCTCTAGGAGTTCATATTTTCTTAAATGGGTATGTCAAAGGTACAATGGTCACTTAATGTGGAGCAGAGGGAGTAGCACATATTTTAACTATTTTTGAGATCTTAAAGAAAAATTACTTCTTCCAATATTTGCTTTCTTTTATGGAATTTTTACACAAATAGCCAGCTATATTCATTGTTTACTTTTTGTAGCCATTTATATAAATTAATCATTGATTATACACAATTATACATATATAATGGGTGAAAATCATTTACCCTCCCCAACTTTGTGTTAAATATCAAACTCCTCCCCCTCCCCCCCCTCAACTTTGAACAATAATCATTCTCCCTCCTTTATCCTACACAATACCTTTTTTGCCCTTGAATTTTTAATTTCCTCCTCAATTCAATAACTTTTTATTATATGATTTTTTTATGGTTTTAGCTATAACTTAAATTATGTAATACCTATTATAAATTGTAATTAGAGTTCATTAAAATTATAAGTAGAATAAGTAATTAGAGTCAATTAAAACTTATCTTTATGATTGTTATTTTAATGTAATGCATATTAAATATATATTTAAGCTATATTTTCTTAGCGACGGAGCTAGAAATTCATATAAGAGGATTGAAAGCACCCCAACTTTTTTTTTTTCCGGATTGAACTTGTGAGCTAAGATAACTTGGGGTATTTTTCAATCCTCTTATATGAAAAACTCGGATTGAACTTGTGAGCTAAGAAATTAATGAACTCTATTCTCTTAGCTCACAAATTTTAATTTCTTAGCTCACAATTTCAATCCGAGTTTTTCATATAAGAGGATTGAAAAATACCCCAAGTTATCTTAGCTCACAAGTCCAATACGAAATAAAAAAAATTGGGTGTTTTTTCAATCCTCTTTATGAAATTCTAGTCCGTCGCTAAGAAAATATAACTTAAATATATATTTAATATGCATTACATTAAATAACAATCATAAAGATAAGGTAATTTTAATTGACTCTGATTACTTATTCTACTTATAATTTTAATGAACTCTAATTATAATTTATAATAGATATTACATAATTTAAGTTATAGCTAAAAAAATAAAAAATATCATATAATAAAAAAGTATTGAATTGAGGAGGAAATTGAAAATTCAAGGGCAAAAAAGGTATTGTGTAGGATAAAGGGGGGAGAATGATTATTGTTCAAAGTTGAGGGGGATTTGATTTTTAACACAAAGTTGGGGAGGGTAAATGATTTTCACCCCAATATATATATATATATATATATATATATTATCACATAACTAGTTTTCGAACACGTGCGTTGCACGTGTATCCCATACCGATTAGTACATATATTTTAAAAGAACTCTTATAAGAGAAAGGGAAACCTATTTCAATATCAAAAACCTTTAGGAGAAAATATTTTAAAATGTAAATATATTAAAATAAAGGCATACAGTTTGTGTGTGATTCTTAACATTAGGTAAAATCTCTTGTACTGTCACCAGTAAATTGTATACTATCATCAATTTATTGTTGAAGTTTCACCTTTCCAGAAATGAACAAATAAGAGAAACGGAACATAAATGAGTATACATTAAATGAAATATTCATTGGGAAAGAATAAGTAGATGTTAGGGAAATACATAATCAACTAAAGAAAAAAAATTATGACTCTAAAGCAAAACGTGATTTACTATTCACTGGGATTTAACAGAAAATGATTTATAATAAAAGTAACAAAAAGCTAACAGAAAATTATTTCAAGATGAGAGAATACTTACGCACACTGACACTGATTTGCATAACTGTTGGAAATTCAAATTAAAGACATTCCAACGGTTTAGATGATGAAAGTAATTAAAGTAACTGCAGTAATGGGTGAAAGTCCAAGCAATAGTTGTCTTTTCACTTACCCTATTAATTGTAATTGGTTGAAATATATATATATATATATATATTATATATATATATATATATATATATATATATATATATATATATATAATATATATTATATATATATATATATATATATATATATATATATATATATTTGTAGTTGACATGTAAGTTTTTTGGTCTGTAACAAAGATATATAAATGGACAGTCTGATGCACTAAGCTCCCATTATGCGCGGCCGCAAATATAATATAATTCAAGTTAAGGGTAAAATGGTCTTTCAGCTTTTGATGGACATTTCGATAATTTAATTTCAACTTTGAAGCTTTCCACTTATAATATAGTATAATTTTTGTTTTTATGAGAAAACTAATATAACTAATGGATAATGAAGTGATCTAAACTTATACATTTTATAAAGTGACAGAAAGGATTACAAAGGGTGGAAGATAAAATGAGCAAAAGTTAAAGCTAAGACATGAAATTTTTTCAATAAACGTGTAGTTATAATTTATCATTTAATAGAATTTTCATTTAATCACATTCATGTACCTATTAAAGTATTTAATATGAGGTGACTTTTTAATGGTGAAGGTCAAAGGGCTTCTATGTTTGTGTTTATTTCAATTAAACTTTTTAAATTAATTTTGTTAGAATGTGTATTGACGTTTTTAGACAAAATTTATTTAAAGAAATATTATGTTGAAGGATATTATAGTCACTCAGCTTTATAAGGTTATTTTAGTCTTTCAATTTCTAGTTTGGATCTTCATACTTATAATATAGTATGGTATATAAATATATATATATATATATATATATATATATATATATATATATATATAAAAGCTTACATAGGAGTTACATTGTCCCTAAGGACATTACTGTTGTTAAGAGATACTAGGCTATTACAAGTAGTAGAATTTAGTTTTTTAACGCCCAAACAAACATCTTGCATATCCTTTTCCAAAAAAGGTTCAACAAAAGTAGGTGGACGTGCAAGTCGATAACATAGTCCTGGCTTGAAATTCCTAACAGCTTCCTTCGCTAGGCAATCTGCTACCGCATTTCCTTCCCTAAAGCTGTGTCTGATCACCAGGGATTTCAACTGTTGCGTTAAGGATCTGCAAGTGAGTAAGCATGGATTAGTAGTGCTATAATCTTCATCTAACATTCTCAACACTTCTGTTGAGTCTGTTTCGATTTGAAGGTCTGGAAATGGCAATTCTATTGCTAGTTTTAGGCCTTCCTGTAGTGCTAAAAGTTCAGCCTGCATGGGGCTGTGAGTGTAACATGATTTGGTGAAGCCCATGATCCATTTGTCCATACTATTTCTGAAAACTCCATCTAGACCTGCATGAAGATTATTTTTCGAGAAAGCCCCATCTATATTCAGCTTAACAGTATTTTGAGGGGGTCTATCCCAGCTGATGCTAACGGAGAAGGAGCATTTGTGTATAGGGGTCCTTTCAGTGAAGAAAAGGTATTCTCCTATTTGGCTAAAGACCTGTCTAGGGTTTATATCAAGGTTTAAATTGTTGATATTGTTATTGTTCCTATTTTTCCACAGGTTCCAAATCGAAAAGGGGAGGATACTCATCCAAGGGTACTGATGGTTATATGCAAAAGTTTGAACATGTCTCAGATAGTTTAACCAGTTATGCTCACTCCTATTGTAGATAATAGTAAGGCCAATGCTAGACCAAAATCGATTTGCTATTGGGCATAGAAGGAAGATGTGAGTGGCATCCTCCGTTCCTTGTTTGCACATAGGGCAGATAAGGTCAATATTGATACCAATATGTACAAGGTAAGCTCTGCATGGAATTTTGTTGTGCATGCATTGCCAAATGAAGAATTTTATTTTTGTAGGGCAATGAAGGTCCCAAATCCATTTGAAGTCAGTGATCTTATCAGGGTTAGGAGTATGATGATCTTCTAGAAGATTATAACAAGATTTTGTAGAGAAGATACCATTGCTAATTGAGTCCCAGGTTATAAGATTTTTAGTCATGGACCTTACAGGGATAGGGGTAGCTTTGATTTTAATTAAAAGCTCATTAGGGAGATCAAAAGAAATCTTGGATAAATCCCACTGGTTATTACTAATAATGTTATTAAAGGACATAGAGAGGTCAGTCTTACTAAGAGGACCTTGGATACAGTTCCTAAGGGGAGTGGAATTATGGATCCATCTATTAGACCAAATGTCCATATTTAAGTTAATAGCAGGGTGCCATAACAAACCTTTAGATAGAAGATTGTAACCTTTCCTAATGGCTGCCCAGATGAAAGAACAAGTAGGAGTATTTTTCTTATTAGCGTATTTTGTAGAAATGAGCTGAGCCCAGGGGTGATTAGGGAAGTTCATGAGGCGCCAACTAAGGCTACTAAGAAGCACCCAATTCTTATCCTTTGCAGAATGAATTCCCAATCCTCCTTCAGATTTGTGCTTTGTGACAGTGTAACGACCCGGCCGGTCGTTTTTGGAATTTACGCCCCGATCCCCCATTAACTGCTTCCCCTAATTTCATTTCTGCTATTTTGGTTTGCCGGGACGTTCGGTGTTGAGTTTTGGAAAGTTTTGGGACACTTAGTCCCTAAATGAGAGCTTAAGTGTTGAAAAATAGTCCGTAGTCAGAACAGTGTGAAGACGACCTCGGAATGGAAATCCGATGGTTTCGTTAGCTCCTTTAGGTGAATCCGGGGTTGGGAGCGTGTTCGGAATGTATTTTGGAAGTCCGTAGCTTATTTAGGCTTGAAATGCCGATGTTTGTATTTTTGAAGTTCCGGTCCGATAGCGAGTTTTTGATCCCAGGATCGGAATGAAATTCCGAAGGTTGCAGTAGCTCCGTCATGTCATTTGGGATGTGTGTGCAAAATTTCAGGTCATTCGGACGTGTTTTGGTTAGGTTTTTGATCGAAATCGTATTTGGAAGAAATTTGTAGCTCTTAGGCTTGAATCTTTGATTTAATCGGGTTTCCGGTGTTGTTTAGGTGTTTTAAGGATTGGTACAAGTTTGAATAAGGTATTAGGTGGTATTGGTGCTTTTGGTCGAGGTCCCGGGGGCCTCGGGATGATTTCTGATGGTCGACGGGAAGAAATTCTAAAGTGTGCAGCAGCAGATTTTGAGTCTTCTGGTATTTCCGCTTATGCGGCTTGGGAACCGCAGAAGCGACTTCTTCATCGCAGAAGCGATTCCAGGCATCTCCGTAGGAACCGCAGAAGCGGTCCCTTTCTCCGCATAAGCGGGACCGCAGAAGCGGGATTTGTACCGCAGAAGCGGAGTCTGGCCTTAAGTGAAAAACCGCAGAAGCGGCTCGTGGTCCACAGAAGCGGGACCGCAGAAGTGGTCCCTTGTCCGCAGAAGCGGAAATGACTGTTCTGAAAAGATGATAATTCGAGGGTTAATTCAAAAGTTAGAAAAAAATAATTGGGAGCTCGGGAGAAGGCGATTTTGGGTGGATTTTGAAGAGAAAATCACTGGGTAATGTTTTCTTGACCCTATTTAGTTGTATTCCATCAATATATAGTTAAATCCACCATTAGAATTCGAATTCAAGGTCAAAATTGGGGAAAATTGGAAGAAACTTCATAGACGTAATTATTGAGTTTTGAGTGGGCAATTGACCTCCGATTTGGGAGATTTTTATATGGTTAGACTCGTGAGAGTACGAGGGTTCTGAAAATGTAAAAATTATTCGATTCCGAGACGTTGGCCTGAGGGGCGTTTTGGTCATTTTACCTATTTTTGCGCCCTAGCTGTAAATTTATTAGCGGAATCAGTTGTTTGCAATATTATTTACGATATGTAATTGAATTGAATAGATTTGGGCCATTTGGAGTCGGATACTCGTGGCAAAGGCGTGGTTTCTATTGATATTGAGCCGGTTCGAGGTAAGTGGCTTGTCTAACCTTGTGGTGGGGACCTTTCCCCTTAGGATTTGTTATTTGTTGATTTGAGTGCCTTGTACGCGAGGTGACGAGCGCGTACTTGAGCCAATTGTTGAAAATCCGATTTTCTTAAGATATTGAGATTGAGTTCCTTTCATATTTTCTTTATTCTACTTGCAATTATAACCTGTGCTAGATTAGGAAAGCATGTTTAGTTGATTTAACTTGCCTAATTGCTTAAGTTGCCTTGACTGTACTACATGAAGCATGCTAGGCCAGTACTACCTGTTGCTTGTCTTTTGTACTTCGTTTCCGTGTACCTTCTGGTTGTGATTGCGCATTTACATTGGGACTACGGATGTGGGATTCCGGTAGCTCCCCCCCTTGTTTGTTTACTTTGGGACTGCGGGTTTGATTCCCGATAGACCCCCCTGCACTTTTACTTTGGGACTGCGGGTTAGATTCCCGATAGATCCCCCTGCACTTTTACTTTGGGACTGCGGGTTCGATTCCCGATAGATTCCCCCGCACATTGATGGTCGGACTACGGGACGGTATCCTGGGAGATCCTTCGGATGTACACATATGATGGACTACGGGACGGTATCCCGGGAGATCCACTGGACAGTTGAGAAAAAGGGGCTACGGGACGGTATCCTGGGAGACCCTCATTGTTATTATTGGTATTGAGCTGTGCTTACTCTGTGTTTATTCTGTACTCGTGTAGTTGTTATAGCCTCATTGACTTGTCTTATCTCACCGCTGTACTTATTATCTCTGTCAGATTTTTATACTGTTAAACTATTATTATTATCATATTTTGTCTCAGTAGGGCCCTGACCTTCCTCGTCACTACCCAACCGAGGTTAGGCTTGGCACTTACTGAGTACCGTTGTGGTGTACTCATGCCCTTCCTGCGCATGTTTTTCATGTGCAGATCATTCAGGTACCTCTACTCAGGCACACTATCAGTGAGGCAGGAGGACTACGGAGACTTCGATGTAGATCTGCTGCGTCCGCAGACCGACGAGTCTCCCTCTTACTCTATCTTTAGTACTTAGTTTTCCTTCTTTCGGTTGTTAGAAATTCTGGAGTTTGGAGCCTTTACTATACACTTCTGTAGCCTGTGTTGCCCGCGAGTTTCCGGGTTTTGGGAATTGTTTTAGACTTGTGATATTGAGTTGTACTTGCCAAGCGGCATTCAGTACAGTTTCCTTTAGATATTTGATTTGATTTTCTCTATTTTTCCGCAATTATTATATTTCCGCAAATGTTAGGCTTACCTGGTCATGGGGACCAGGTGCCGTCATGACATGTTCACGGTTGGTGAACTAGGGTCGTGACAAGTTGGTATCAGAGCTCTAGGTTCATAGGAGTCACGGAACACAGGCCGGTTTATTAGAGTCTCGCTGATCGGTACGGAGACGTCTGTACTTATCTACGAGAGGCTATGTAACTGTTTAGGAAAAATCTTCACTTTATTTGAATTCCTCGTCGTGTGATATTTTTGACATCAAATCTAAACTTCTGTCTTCTATTCTCTCACAGATGGTGAGGACACGCGCTACTCGAGATGATCAGGCACCCGCGCCCCCTGCTGCCGCCGCCAGAGGCCGGGGCCGGGGTAGAGGTCGAGGACGCGCACGTGGTGCAGCCAGAGCACCTGCGCGAGCTGCCGCCGAGGTACCACCAGCAGATCCAGCCGGAGCCCAGGCACCTGGCACACCTACTACTGCCACTACTACTCCAGCGCTCCAGGAGACTTTGGCTCAGTTCATGAGCATGTACACCACCTTGGCTCAGGCGGGGTTGCTTCCCCTCGCTGCAGCCACATCCCAGGCCGGGGGAGGAGCACAGACTCCCGCCGTCCGCACTCTTGAGCAGCGAGTGTAGGTTGAGCAGGTTCCCGAGATTATTCCCCCACCGCCTGCAGCACCAGTTCAGCCCGAGGATGGGTCAGCTGCTTCAGAGGACGAGCAGCGGAGACTTGAGAGGTTTAAGAAATATGATCCCCCAGTGTTCAGTGGCTTAGCATCAGATGATGCCTTGGGATTTTTGGAGGAGTGTCATCGCATTCTTCGTACTATGGGCATAGTGGAGTCCAGCGGGGTCTCTTTCACTGCTTTTAAGCTTCGGGGAGCCGCCTATGATTGGTGGCGTACTTATGAGTTAGACAGTCCAGTCGAGGCTGCTTCACTGACTTGGACCCAATTCTCGGACATGTTTATGAGAGAGTTTGTTCCCCAGAGCCTCAGAGATTCATGGCGCGCAGAGTTTGAGTATTTGCGCCAGGGTGCTATGACAGTTTCAGAGAATGCCATCCGTTATACCAGGTTGGCCAGGCACGCACCGGCTTTGGTTGCTACAGTTCGAGAGAGAGTTTGCAGGTTCATTGAGGGCCTTATTCCACCCATCAG